AGATGGTGACAAATGTTTTAGTAGGGTCTGTTATGACAGGACAAGGAGTAATGGTTTTAACCTGAAAGAGGGGAGATTTAGACTAGATACAAGGAAGATATTTTGTACAATAAGGGTGGTGAAACACTGGAACAGTTTGTCTGGAGAGGTTGTAGATGCCCCACCCCTAGAAACATTCAAGGTCAGATTGGATGGGGCTCTGAACACCCTGGTCTAGTTGAATGTGTTCCTGCTCACTGCAGGGGTTTAGGCTAGGTGACCTTTAAAGGTCCCTTTCTACCCTAACTATTCCATGATTCCATGATTCTATGAAATATTTGCTAATATGAGGGTACTACTGACCTTTGCTTCCCTTTCTCAAATATAAGCTTTTCCAGTAAATAACAAGTTGGGACAATATGAATTTCATCAATATACATTAATGGTGAAGGGGCAATCTGTTTCAGTCATGTTTTTAATGCATATTTTATTATTTGGTATAGGATAGACAGAATCATCCCATCATATCACTAAGCAAGATCTATCATACTTAGCACCATATCAATTACTTCAGCACAAAATTAATCTACTGCACCCTGTTTCATTAATAATATGGCAGATGCACTTTGAAAATGGAAATAACCAATTCAACCAAGGCAGGAACAAAACTACAGAAACAAAGAAAGATGAAGAGCAAAGGATCACTGAATCAAGACCTTTGTGATTCTTGAGCAATAATTAAGTTGCAAACCACAGCCTGGTCTTACAGCTACTGATTAGGCAAACATCATTCTCCAAATGGAATAAAATTTTAGGAAGAATACATGAGACAAAATGACATAGAAATAAAATGCTTCAAAGAGATTTCTGTCTCACAACAGTTGCTTTCGAGAAAAGATATGTGTCTGCACTAAAACTGTACTTATTTCTTGCATATGCAATGACATATTCATGTCTGCATTAAAAGCAGCAGGGAAGAATATGATTCAAAAACTTTCAAGACACTCTGTGAAATTCTAAGAATTAGCTTTTATGAACAGCAGAAATGATCTTCAAAAAATACTATCAAGGTCACCGGATCTTAGATGTAACAAACAGCCTCTTCATAGCTATTCAAAAGTTCACTTGATTTCTAATGTACACACCCCAGAGCTATTATTTCTTCTTTAGTAGCTTAACGTTTATAATAGCTCTGCATTACATACCTTCAATATAGTAAACCATAATGCATATAAAAGTACTAATTTTGCCACTGAAAAGCCTCTTAATTCTGGATTTATGAAAGGAAGTACTGGTAGATAACATGCATTATAATACTGGGCCCCAGTGCATTTTCACCCCTTCGCATTCTCTATTCCAAGGAATTAAGCTGGAGGAGCAGCCAAAGATCCTTCACAGTAAGTTTCAGGGCCACCAATGTGCTTCCAGACTGGTGGTTCTGTCTCTGCCTAGCACAACTGGCATGGCACTCCTGTCACTGTTTAACAACCTAAACCTCTGTCATTTCTACGAGTGCTTTACCCAGGGCACTCTTGCAAGCCTTCAGAAAACTGTTTTTCAAGGACCTTTTGGACTTCAGTAATTTTCATTCCAAGGCTGAAAACAGGGAAGAGACTTCAGGTTCCAAAACATCATTAGAATAATCAAACAATGTATAAACTAGGAGGACATGAATGGTATATTTCTGATGTAATAAGGAATATATCTGCAACCACCCTCAGCGTGAATGACATTTAAAGTCTGGCTAATAAATAGCCACGAAGTATATCTTCTAAGTGCACTTGAAAAATTCAGACTTAAGGCGGCAGAGCTGAGGAGGCATACCTGAACCATGGAGAAGCACAAGCCTTACAGTACCATGTAATACAGCTCCTCAGAAAATCTGTTATGCCAGAGAAAGGATAAAAGGTAAAAGAAAAGGAACACAGTTCTGCCAACCAAGAAACTTATGTGTTTTGGGATCAGCAGAGTAGTGAGGCAGAACTGAAGCAAGGTTTGTTTCCATGCTAGCATTATCATGATCTCCCTTGGCAGATTATTCCATTGTCTGATGGGACCTCAGTGTCTGGCCATTTTCCCTAATGACTTTACTTGCTTAGTGTCAGCATTTTGTATTGCCCGGAGCTCATTTGAACAGACCCTATGTTGTTGGGTTGGTTTGTTTGGGTTTTTTTGAGAGTGTATATGATATAGTAATTATAAAATTTCCCCCCTTAGTCATCTTATTGGTTGGTCAGAAAATAGATGAATAGCTGTGTAAATATATGCATTCTTGCATGGGCAAAATTCTGTATGTGCATGCAAAACTCAATTTGAATGCACAAATGACGATATATGC